TGAGGGAAGGACAAGGCAGCCAGAGCCACGCCCCTGGGCCACAGTCTGTTCATTCATCTCCTCTTCCAGGCAGCATGGACTGGGGGAGTCGGACAGACGGTTCCCAGTGTTACTTGACCCTGCTGCCTGCTGTGTGGCCATGGGCCCCTCACTTAACTGGTCTGAACTTTCATTCCCTCCTCTGCATAATGGAGATAATAGCAGCATGACTCCTTGGAGCCTCGATTTTCACGTCTGCAAAATGGGCGTGATGGCCCCTTGGGTTTCTTGGAAGATTTCAAGGCACTGAGCTCAGGGGGCTGCTTGGTTAGATGTTGGCTGATGCTGAAGCTGGTCCGGCCTTGACGCCACCGGTGGCCAGGCTGTGTACAGCCTTGACTCCTTGCTGGGCCGCGGATCTCCACTGCGGAGCTGTGTCGGACAGTGCGCCCTGGGGCACCGCTCCCCTGGCTGGCCTCAGGCCCAGGCAGTGGGCGTTGTTCTGGGCAGTCCGCCGGGAGCCTGCTGGTCCTGTGGAAATAGCCCCTGGGCCTGCGCTGGTGTTGGGTCACTCATTTGGGGGAAAGAAAACCGTGTGTGTATAGGAAGCTGTGAAGTCAGGGATGGTTCCCTGCTCCGGGAAACAGCCTGTGAAGCTGTTCACTGAGCCTTGTCTGAGAACCCAGCACAGGGTTCGGCGACGGCTGAGGCTGAGCCTCAAGGACGTCTGCGCGGGTCTCCCAAGGGCGTGGCAGAGCCTGTCAGCCCAGAGCCACGTCAGCCTGCGCCAAACGAGGGACAGTGATGCCCCTGCCTCGGGGGGTGGACTGAGAACTGGCTGGGCTCACAGCGTGTGACCACATGCACGCGTACGTGCAGAAAAGGGCAGGGACGTGCCGTTTCCACCCCAGGGCTCAGGAGCAAAGTGACAAATACCTGCGCCCACGCAGTATCATAACGCACTCCCAAAAGCACACACAGATCCTCACGCACGTCCTGTCCCCAACCTGCCCAGGCCGGTCCTTGGCCTGAGCCTTCCTGGAGTCTGGGGTCATCTGGCTCTGGGAGGGTAAGAGCCTCATGAACCACCAGCCCCCATGAGGTGTGGCATTTGGGAGGGCACAAAGGAGGGACATGGCTTTTCCCAGCTGAAGTTTCCAGATACTGGGAGGCAAGAGCCAGACACCAGTGTTAGTCAGAAAGGTCACTTGGGAAACCTCGGAGCCCTGCCCAGCTCGAGCTGGTCCCTAGAAGGGAGTTCCCGGATTAAACCCACATCCCCCCAGGATCACACCCTACAGTAGTAAGAGCCTTGCTGAAGGCCAGGGCAGGGAGCAGCATGTCCCTGGACTCTGCGAAGGGAGCCACAGTTACCACGAGTGATGGAGCTGTTTGCTCCAGAGGCATCCCCAAGAGGCCCATAGTGCCGTGGACACAGCCCGACCGGGGTCCAAAGCCCAGCTCTGTCTGCCCCTGTGTGGCCCTGGGCAAGTCCCTGCTCCTCTCTGAGCCCCAGTGCCTGTGTCTGTCACACGGAGACTGCCACTCCTCCATCGCCCAGAGGGGGTGAGCACTGACCAGCATGGGAGCAGCCACTGTCGGGGGCCAGGCTGTGTTCTGAGGAGCTTCCACCTGTTAACATGTTCAATCCTCTCTATCACCCTAAGAGATACATCTTGCTCATGGCCCCATTTTCCAGATGAGGAAACTGAGACACTGCGTGGAGAAAGGTCGCCCGTCCCAAACAGGCCCTAACCCCTGGGCTCAGCCCAGTCTGGTTCCTGGGAGCCGGCAGACCGCGCACGCCGGGACCCAGGCTGGGAGGCCACACTGTGGGTCCACAGCACCTGGGACATGCAGGGCCCTTGCTCCCTGCGCAGAGAGGCCCTCTGCGGGGTGGCAGCCAGTGTGGCCTGTGGCTCTGGGTCTCACATTCTACGGATTTTTGGCTCCTGACTTGGGCTTGGCTGCCTGTCCCTCATTGTTCTGCAGCTCGGCAGGAGCCCCGGAGAGGCAGCTCCCGTGCTACCCCGAGGTGCTGCCGGGGCTGCGGGGCTGCCCTGCTCTCCAGGTTCTCCCTCTGTGCCCTTGGTCTTGTTCTTTCTGCGTCTCCTGGCAGGAAATGTCTGGGGTAAAAGGGTCAGGTCTCTGTTGAAATATAGACAAAGAGAATGAACACCCTCTGAAATGCAACAGCCCTGGAGACTCCGGGACCTAGGAGGGGCTTGGGAATCCGAGAGCCGGGTTCAGGTGTCCCCTCTGTAGGTCACTTGGGACATGACCTTGTGCCTCCGCTCTGAGCCATTTCCTCACCTGTAAGGGGGTCTACCAGCAGCCCCAGGATGAATGGGAGAGGCCTGGCCCCAGAGCTCAGAGAGCCTCCATTGACCCCCTCCCTCCTTGCTCCCTGCCTTCTGTCCCTTTGTGGTAGCTCTCTGGCACCTGGGGAGCTGTGACTCACAGGGTCCTCCTTGGCTGCTGCTTTTCCGGAACAAAGTCCCCCCTCCTCCGCGGGGAGCGTGGCGTACTACCTTCCATTAGGTTCTGGACAGAACCACTCTTAGGAACAGTCACGTACCAAGGCCCCAGGGCTTTGGCAGCAAAGGTGCATGGACGGCAGCGCTACATCAGCTTGGTGCCATCCCAGAGGACAAGGGCCATGGGAGCCTGGGGGGTGGCTCCCATGGCCCACTCAGCACAGGCCCCATTCTTGTTCTTGGGGAGCTGCTGGAAGGGAAGATGTTGTTGGGAGGAGCACACCATGGAGGTTATGGGCAAAGATGCCTTTGTGGGTTTGAATCCTGGCTCCTCTGCTGTGATCCGTGTGATCTGGGCACATCGCTTAGCCTCCTTGGAGCTTCAGTTTTCCCGTCTGTAAAATGGAACAGTAACAGACCCTGTTCCATGGAATTGTTAGATGAGATGGGCTAACGAAGCTGAAGTGCAGGGAGCAGGGCCCAGCACGGAGCACAGGGCCGTCGGCCTGCCGTTTCTGTTACCTCTGGGTAGGAGGCCTCACAGTGCCCCGTGAGAGGAGGGTGAGCCCCGAGAAGCTCCCGACAGCGTGCAGACCGCTGCCTCCCAGCTCAGAGGTGGGAGTGCCGTGTGGGGACATGAGTGACCTTCACAGGTACCTCCTAGGTCCCAGCTGGGGAGTGACAGGGTCATGATACAAACCCAGGCTGGCTGGGCACCAGAGGCTGTGCGAGGCAGGAGGAGGGAAGCCAGGACCTCCTTCGTGTTCGGCCCAGTGGAAGTGTGTGAGCAGGTGGGCAGGTGAGCGATGCCCCGTGGGCCGTGCCAGTGTGCCATAGTCAGAACATTCCCGCTGAAGACGGTTCCCCCACCTTTCCCAGAGGTTCCCCCAAGGGCAGAGGACGGTGAACATGTCACCTCGCGGGGTCTGGGGGCGCCGCCTGAAGCAGCTGCAGAGCCTGCAGGAGTCTGGGGTTTTATCTTGAAATTCACGTGCATTTCACATTCTGTTCCCTCTGCATCCGGGGTATTGTCACACACATTTCCCCCGAGTAACAGCTGCTGCCTCAGGAAGCTGCTCCTGTTTATCTGTTTATCCTGGGGCTTTTCGTACCCAGGATCTCACTTGTCACCTGGGGGGGTGCTCCAGTGCCGAGCTCAGGCACAGATGGCAGCGGATGCTGAAGGGACTGTGCTCCCATCTGCATCTCAGGAGGCACCTCAGTGATCCATGCAGAGGAGGAGGGCTTGGTGGGGAGGGCCCTAGGCGCAGCCACCCAGGGAGAGGCAGGGCGGTGGGGGACAGAGTCCTAGCCGCAGTGCCCTCAGTGTGACACTGATTTGAGATAAGAGAGAAAAGAGACAGCAACAGATCTACCTTTATCTGTATACATGAGGATGAACCACACAAAGTGCTGTCTGTGGAGGTCAAAATGGTTGAGTTCGGGCAACTTCCCAGACCAGAGACCGCCCGGGCCGGGCTGTGCGTGGCAGGACGCCCCTCGCTGCGGGCCCCCTGCGCTCTGCCATCCGCTCCACGGGCCTCACCTTCTGCCACCTACTCTGCGTGCTGGAGAGCAGTTTTCCCCCAGGCGCAGTGACAAGTGTGTGAGCGCCTGTCTGAGGACACAGGCAGAGTGGCCCTGGACCCAGAAAGTCCTACAGAAATGCTTGTGGGTGAACGAAACCCTGCCCTCTGAGGAGGCTGCTCCCCTCGCCTCCGAGAGGGTCGTGTGGCCCGTGGTGCCCTCCTGCAGGCCATACAGCTGCTTCTGTGTGCCCGAGCCTCCCCCGGCCCCAGGTGCGGCCCGCTGGGGGGCCAGCAGAGGCTGCTTGGGGCGCCAGGAGCAGAGTGGTGTTGGAAGTAACACTCAGAGGGCCTTTAGCTCAGGCCTGGGCACGTGGTGGCACTTAATCAGGGACAGCTGCTGTGATCACTGCGGTGTCCGGGAGCCTCTGCTGTGACGAGCTCCGGAGGTTGAGGGGTTGCCCCCCTGTGCCCAGAGGTTCGTGCAGGACTGGGAGCGGGCTCCGTGGCCTTGGCTTTCCAGTGTTGGGCACACAGGGCCCAGCAAGGATGGGGACGTGGGCTCCTTCCTGCAGCGGCTGCTTGTGGTCTGACTCAAGGTCAGCCTCTCCTGACCACCCAGGCTGCCACGGTGGGCTTATGTGGGGCTGATGTTGGGGGACAAGGGTGTAGAACCGCCCCCCGAGAGGCATGGAGGGCAGGTCTGTGGAAAGCTCAAGGCTTTGGAGTCTAGTCATCTGGTGCCTCCCTGGCTGGCTGGGGGCCACCTTTAGACTTTTCCCTGCACAGAGCATCAGCTTCCCCTCTGTCTGTGGGGAGACTCCTAGCAACCTAGTCAGGCAGCGTAAGGGAGGAAAAGTGTCACACGGGGTGCCGAGTGCCAGCCCTGCCACCCTGAGCTAGGTGGCGTGGGCAGGGACTCACGGGTCTGCACCTCAACGCACACATCTGTAAAACGGGGCAGGGGAAGGGGCAGGCGCCGTCGGGAGGGATGAGCAGGCACCTGGATAAGGAAGCCCTGGTTTTCTCTTGCAGCCCGTGCCCTCGTGAGGCTGGCATGCAGGATGGCAGGACAGCCCAGCCACCTGCCCCACGGAGGGAGCCCGAACAACCTCTGCCACACCCCGGGGCCCGCGCACCCTCCTGACCCACAGGTAAGCCCTTTGCCGACGACGACGGAGGCAGCCCCCAGACAGCGCGTCTCCTTGCCGGCTCCCAGTGGCAGGAGCAGAGCTCACTGCGGGACCTGGTCAGCCCTTCGTTTCACTCAGCGCGTGGGGAGCCCCTGTGCTGGACTCTGGTGGCTGCGGCCCGCCCTCCGTGTTTCCATGTGAACAGAACAGCTTTCTCGCAGCGGGATCAGCGCTGCTGAGCAGGGTGGATAGAGGGAGTTTCGGAAGCCCCGAGGGGAAAGGAGGGCACAGAGGAGTGGACAGGGTGACCTTGGGGTCAGAAAGGACTTCCTTACTCTGGGCTGAAGTCTGCCTGCCTCCCGGTCGGACCTGTACTGACCCTCCTCAGCCTCTGTATCCAGAGCCAGCAGGACTCAGACTCCCCAGTTTCCCTCCACCTGCCTCGCCCTCTCCGCAGACCCCGGAGAGCCAGGCAGACCTGCAGCTTTCTGAAGGTGACTTTTGGGGCCCTGAACTGCTCGCACACCCCATGCTTTTCCCAGCCGCTGCTTCTGGGGAGCCTTTCTGCTCCCCCCAGCCCCTCCTCTGTGCTCAGGCACTGGGTCACAGCCACGGTCACATCCCACCGGGGGACTGTTCCTGGGTCCCCTTCCCTCCTTAGAGAGTCCTCTGGAGTGGGGCTCCGCCGGTCGCACCGCCCCGGGCCAGGCGCTGAGGAGCCCCTCGTGCCTGCAGAGTTAACGCACTGCAGTACAGGCAGTGCACGTGCCCGGGACGTGGCCTGGGACACAGACTCCCGTCTGCTCTGAGTGAGCCCGCAGCCTCCCTGGAGAGATAGACAGGGAAGAATGCAGAAGGAACTAGGAGCCAGCAAAGCTCCGACAAGGCACTTGATCCGAAGCCAGAGAGGCTTCCTGGAGGAAGCGGCATGCCCAGGGCTGGAGGGGACAGAGAGCTTGGGCAGCATAGCCAGGGCCAGATGTTGTGTCCGACAGGCAGCCTGGAATGATGAAAAGGGATTGCCCAGGGTTGGCTTTTGTCCCCGGACTGGGAGACCTAAATTAGGGGGAGACTCAGAGAGAGTCCTGAGCTGTGAACGGGTTGTCCCAGCTTCTAACCACCTAGCTCCTGTTGGAGGACTTCAGGGGACCAGGGTTTGACCTCTGGGCAGGGTTGCCAGGTACAGTTGCACAGGTCATACACTGCCCAAAGGTGCCAGGCCGGCGAGGCAGGTGAGTCTGAAATCCTCCTCCTGGCCCTGAGCCCTCCTCCAGCCGTGCTCCCTGGTGTGGGCTGCATGAGCCCGGGGAAGGGGCACCTCTGTAACTGGTGCACACAGCGGCGACACACGCACCGGGAGAAACTGCGTGCATGAGGGTCCGAGGGTCCCTGCTGTTCATACTTTCCATTTCTGTTACTGACTGAGAGGCAGGGGCCCATTTCCTAGATGGAATTTGGGGGGCACATCCCAGAAAGCTGGGCAGCCCGTGGACACTGCTGGTCCAGAGTCCACCAGGACATCTCAGTGATGCCTGGGGGCAGCAGGGCCTCCTCGGGTAATGTAGCAATTTGTCATATTAAGTCATTCACTAACAATTGAGTCCCCCTTGATTAATCTCCCAGAATTAGCCAGTTGCATTTCGAGCAATTAGGGTTAATTACAGCCTCATTTGGCAGAGGAGAGAGCCCCCCTAATTATTTCACAAACAAGGAAAAGGACTTGCTACCGTCCATGGCGTCTCGTGGCTCATGTTGGTGTGGTAATGACATAGTTAAGTGTAATTAGATACGATTACTCAGCTAGCGGCTGCCGGGGAAGATGCCCCCGTCCTGCTAGCTGGATGAAGGACAGTCGGGCACTTTCTGTCTTCTCTGGTATTTAAATACCATCTGGGGAGATACCAGGGCCCTAAGCTTGCCTATTTCAGGACATAGAAACACCTGAAATTGATGGCAAGGGCATTTTCCTTTAAGGCAGGAGACATTGCTGGTTCCCTGAGATCATTCTTAGAGGAAGGAGCCAGGCTTCAGGGCAGCAAGAATGCTGTTCAGTTCCCAGCTCCATCCCTCACCAGTCAGGTGACATTGGTAAATGACCTCTGAGCCTCAGTCTTTCTCATCTGTGAAATGGGAGCGTGAAGACTGAGCTGGTAAACTTGAAACATCCAGCATGGCCTCCCCCATCGTGGGTGTTAAGGAAATGATATGTCATTGATCTTATTCTGATATTTTAAATTTTATTTTAGTTTTCACAGCTAAAGAGCCCAGAGCTGGAAATACCCCCAGTGTAGAAAGAACAATTTAGCACTCTCGTTTTTGTTAACCTTCTGTGCCCAAGGCACGTGGTTTGTTCATTTCAAGGAGCTTTCTAGCTCTGAGAGCTGTCAGCACATGAAAATATGTTTGCTGAACCCGGCAGCATCACATGTGAAATTCACATATACTTGGGAAAGCCGGGCATGCCTGCTTTCTTTGAGGTTGTGAATGAACGAGTGAGTGAGTGAATGAATGAATGAGTGAATGAAGTTGAGAAAAAGAGCTTACAATGCCGTATGCTTTATGATTTTACCAAGTTGCTACAGAGCGTTTCACCAGGAATGAAACGCGAGGCTCAGCCGACCCAGTAAGAACCACATGAGTTTCCAAGGAGAAAGGTGTTCTTGTCTGAGAAAGCCCTGGCTAATGTGTCTTCCATCTGGAAAGTCTTTGCAGACCTGCTTGGGACGTGCCAAGTGCTGTTGTATTTGACACTCTTCAGAGAGAGAGGAATGTGCCTGACTTTGCAGGAGATAAGGACGGCGTTGCACAGGCCCAGATCTTCATGAAAATCTTCTCAAGCCAAGGATGGGAGTTAGATAAGATTTAATGACCAAATATTGACAGCCATTAAAATTCAAGAAGTGTTTGCTTTGTTGTAAATTCAGCGAGTCCTTGTCTCATTTTTGCCTTAGGAACAGGCAAGAGGTGTTCCAGGAAGGAGGAAAGAGCCAGACCTGTACCTTCAGGTCCAGTTGGGTCGCATAAGGGTTTAAATACTGGTGCTTAGATAGGGTAGAATGACCAGCATTTATAAAAGGCCTGGAATCCACACTGTGTCATTAGGAATTGACTCTGTAGCAGGTGGGGAGCCCATTATGGGTTTGAAGTTGACAGGGTTTGAGTTTTAATAATTTTTAATTGATTTTTTTAGAGAGAGAGGAAGGGAGAGAGAGATAGAAACATTACTGTGAGAGAGAAACATCTGTCGGCTGCCTCCTGCACGCCCCCTACCGGGGATTGAGCCGAAACTTGGGCCTGTGCCCTGACTGGGAATTGAACCAGGACCTCTCAGTCCATGGCATGGCGCTCAGTTCACTGAGCCACACCAGTTGGGCAAGGGGTTTGAGTTTTATTTTTTTTTTTATTTATTTATTTTTTTAATCCTCACCCGAGGACATTTTTCCATTTTTTGTTCAGATAGAGCGGGAGGGAGAAAGAGGAAGAGAGAGAGAGAGAAACATCGACGTGAAGGGACACATCGAGTGGCTGCCACCCTCATGACCAACCAGGGCCGGGGACAAACTGCAACCGAGGTACGTGCCCTTAGCGAGAACCGAACCCGGGTCTCTCTGTACCGCAGGCCGACGCTCCAACCGCTGAGCCAAACCGGCCAGGGCGGGGGTTTGAGTTTTAGATCACTGGCAAGAAAGGTGGAATTAGGAAGAGGCAAGGAGGCTGCTGCCTTCATCCAGGTTAGATGATGTCTTAGCCTTAAACAGGCCGGACACAGGAGGGAAGATGTCAGAGACCTCCAGGGGGGAATCAACTACTTTTGGTAACTGAAGGGATGAGGGAAAGTCCAGGATGTGTCCAGCCTTCTGGGTGCTGGCTGATGCTCTGTATGGCTTCACCCTTCGAGCCTTTGCTCGTCAGTCCGTTGGAGCTGATTCCAGATTCTCTCATCCTTGCGTTTCATTGAGCTCAGCTCTCCCCGCGCTCCGTTAGGGGATCGGCCCGGGGGGCCGGTGCGGCTGAGATGGGCTTAGGTTTCCTTATCAGGGCATCTTGCTCGCTGTGCCCATGGAACCGCGTGTCGATGTCCAGGTTGAGACCGTGGTGGTGGTGGCAGCACCCACCGCGTGACGCCCGGCACGTCCCTCGTTCCGTCCTTCCTCCAACGCGGAGAAGTATTCAGGTCTTATTCAGAACTCCGTCTCGCAGGGGGGACACGGAGATCAATGACTTACCTGTCGTCTGTGAAAGAGCAGAGCCGGGGGTCACTCCCGTCGCGCGCCCCCATACGCGCCTTCCTGGGTTTGAGATTAGCCGGATCGGGGAGAGCTGAGCGGGGCCGGCCTCTCCCACAGCCCGACAGCACGGCTCTCTGGGAACCGTGCCCTTTGGTACGCGCGGATCCAAACCGCGGCGCCATCTCTGCACTGAGTCCGTTAGACGTTCCTTACACACGATGTCAGATGTCTTTAAAGGTGAACTTCGTTTACAGGAAATGTCATTCTGATGAAGTGTGCTTTTTAAAATCATAGAAACAGTTGCCTTAAGATTAATGATGCATCGCAAATATCAGGGAGGGGGGAAGACCCATCCAGTGTAAAGATGATTAAAATTCAGGTCAGAAGTCTGACTTAGTCAGGCTAAATTTTTTAATGAGATTTCAGAAAATTAATTGGGCGAATGCATTTTTATTCTTTTAACATGTAATTTTATGCTCCTGTTTTAAAAAAAAAATTGTCGATGGCCGAGGCTTATTGTGGTTCAAACGTTTTAAACTCAAATTAGCACAGTGTGGGGGGTATCTGTGGCCTCATTTGATCTGACTTGGAGGAGAAGCTGGGTTTCTCCAGGCTTTCTGCGGCGGGGGTTCAAGGTGCCCGCGTCCCTGTGCATCCGGCTTTGGCCTGAGAGGGCTGGCAGCCTTTCTGGGGGGGTGGGACTGGGGATAGAGGTGACTCAGGGACCTGAGTCATCCTTTCTCTCGACTCTTGGCCAGATTCCTCCCGAGTTGCTCTCAGAGGCTCCTCTTCTCTGTGAGATGGTGTGACCTCCTGGGCACAGCGGGCTCCTCCCTCGGGCCCCCTGCAGCTGGTCAGTGTCCCTGCTGCCTACCCCAGCCCCCACCTTATCTCCTCTACCTCTGGGGGAGAACTACAGGGCTCCCACGGAGAGGGCGGTGAGGAGTCAGTAATGGCCTTTGGTGCCCAGGGCAAAGCAAAGCAAGGGGGGAGCGCAGTCCCTGGGCGAGCAGTCCCGGATGACTCACGCGGGGAACAGTGAAGCCAGAAGGCTGCAGGGGCACGTCAGCCTCCCTGCTGTACTGTAGCCAGGTGATGCTCGGTAAATGACCTCTCTGAGCCTCCACGTTCTCATCTGTGAAATGGGGCCATGAAGACTGTGAGGTGGCATGCTTCAAGCATCCATTATGGCATCCCGCATCGTGGGGGTGATAAGCCATTGAGCTTATTCTTCGAGTGTAAAATTCATTTTAGTTTTCACAGCTGAAGAGCCCAGAGCTGGAAATCCCTCCCTGCAGACCCTCGGTAGGGATGGGGTCGGTGGGGATGTTGATAGCAACAGCGAGAACGCCCTGCACTTGTGTCCCGGGTCAGGGGCTTGCCTGGCCGGGCACCGTGCACAGCCTGCCTCATTCACCCCCAGCCCCAGGAAGTGGGTGCTGCTGCTCTGCAGGTACCCACGATGCCAACGCCAGTAACAGCCACCGCATGCGGCATTTCCTGTGTACCAGGCACTTTCATTCATTAACCTATCTAACCCCCTGGCAGCCCTCTGAACTGGGGACTGTCAGGATCTCAGTTGTTCAGATAAGGAAACTGAGGCCCAGAAGGGCTTGCCCAAGGCTTATGCCAGGAAGTGGACTTGAATCCAAGCTCAGGGCCCCAGAGTCAGTGCCTCAGCCTGTCTGCCAGCCTGTGCCCCTGGAGGCAGCACAGGTCGCAGACCTAACAGGGCCTGTAGGCATTCGAATGGCAGCGTTCAGAAAGGCCATCAGGGTCATTGCTGTGAGCTGTCTGGGGCCAGCCCTGTGTCTGCCCAGCAGTTTAGAGCTCCCGGGACCCTCAAGGGATCCTGAGGCTGGTGTTATGTGTCCAGGGTATGGATGACCTCACTCGGCTGCAAAGGCAAGAACTTGCCGGGGGCTGACCCAGGACGGGGGAAGGCCTTGGAGGTGGCCTTTCGGGCAAGAACCCAGTCCACCTTTTCCTTTTCCGCTCATAGCCGCTGAGTTAAATCAGGGTCAGGACTCTGGCAGTGCCTCCCACCCGAGCAGTGACACCCCCATCCCAGCCCCTGCGAGGCCCCCTCACCCGGTGCTGCTCCCTTAGTCACCGGCCCACCACAGGAGCTCATTGCTCTAATTAGGTCGGATAGGTTGTGACAGGAAATGCAAATCTGGGTCATCACATATGCAGATGTGCAGCCTGAGTGTCAGGGACCAGGCTGGGATGTCCCCCAGTCCTCTGGGAGCCTCCTGGAGCCTGTGGAGCCGGGCAGCCTGGCCTCTGGGCCACGTCCCTGGGGTGAGTGGGAACTCCAGCCACTCATCCTCGGGAGAGGCCGTCCAGGGTTCCCAGGGCAAGGACCCGGGGATGTCACATCCTTCAACCACTTCAAGTCCCAGGGGGGAACTGAGGCCCAGAGCGGGGCGGGACCCTGCCCCCGACCACCCAGCAAGTCCGGCTCCCCAGTGACCGGCTGTGTGACCCTGTGTGCCTCCCTTCCTTGTTTATAAAATGGGACTAATAATTGACAAGGCTGTGACAAGATTTAAGTCATAAGAGCCGTCTAAGCAGCCGGTATAGTAACTGACACGTAGTACACGACAATGGGTCATTATTCATGAGCACGTGGGATTCCTCCAGGTGCCAAGAAAGTTGCCTATTCCCGCGGGTGTGAGTTTTTGGCAGCACTCACGCAAGTGACAGTGGACGGGTCAGAGCCCAGTGTGCACATTCCATTGTGTCATTCGACAAAGGTGGCCCTGCACTTGCTCTGAGCAGGTCAGAGCCTCTGCTGAGGGGACGTGGAGGGGTCGAGCAGGAGCCCACTTTTGAGAGGCCGGTGTGGGGTGGGGGCGGCGGCCGGGGGTGAGATCACCAGGGAGGTGACAAGTGCTTTGAGGAGAGCAGGCTGGGGTTCTCCTCCGCACAGGGGCTCTCCGTGAGGGTCACCCTGGTGGCTGTGGAGAGCACGGGGTGGGGCCGGGGGGGCTCTGGAAGTCCCACCTGCTCCTGAGAGGGGCACTGGGAAAGGGCAGCAGCCTCCTGTTCGGCCTGGCTGGACACGATGCCCTCCGTCTGTCCCTCCAGAGGCACCCGAATGCCCTGTCTTTTCGCTGCTCGCTGGCAGACTTCCAGATCGAGAAGAAGATCGGCCGAGGGCAGTTCAGCGAGGTGTACAAGGCCACCTGCCTGCTGGACAGGAAGACGGTGGCTCTGAAGAAGGTGCAGGTGAGCCAGCAGCGCCATGGGCTCCAGGTCTCACTGCGGGAGCTGCTTCTCTGTCCAAACCTTACGGCCCTGGGCTGGCCGCCCCTCCCCTCCCCTCCCCTCCCCTCCCCTCCCCTCCCCTCCCCTCCCCTCCAACTCCCTGCCCTTCTGTAAATGAGAGAAATTAGTACCCGACTCACTGGGCTATGGAGAGAACTGGGTGGACCCCTAAAAGCTCAGTGTGAGCCACGGAGGCAGAGACAAGGGGAGAGCACCGAACACCGCGGTGCAGGGTCTGGCTAGGAGCCCTGGAACCCTGACCGCAGCCCTGGGTCGGGTGAGCATCCCTTGCTCGGAGGAAGAAAACCACCACCAGGCCTGCAGAGGGAGCTGAGGCCCACCCACCCTGCTGCCTGCACTTGCTGGTCCACTCTGGGCTTGAGCACCCTTCCTGACCTCAGTGTCCCCCTCGATGGCAGAAGGGGTTGAGCAGATGGGTCTAAGCAGCAAACTCTGGCCAGGAAGCGTTTCCGTGAGAGCCACTGGCCCGTGGAAGGCTGCTTCGCTGCGGGAAATGGTTTAGCGCCCCCGGCAGAGCACTCCGAATCCCTCAAGCAGATTAAAGCCTGGGCAGAGGGGACCCAGGAGAGCGAAGGCAACCGGGAGGCAGGTCCAGGGTGGTGCCGGGTGAAGCTGGAAGATCTTGGCGTCACCTGTGACTCACGTGCAGCTTCGGGGCCCCAGAGGAGAGATGGGCTCCCCTGTTCAGAAGGGGCCTGCTCTTTGCCCTTCGTCTTCCAAGACGGCTCACCTGGGCTCTTGGTGTTGGTTTATCTGTGCCATGAAGGGTTTTGTGGTGAGGCTGCTGGCCTGTCCACCTAATCAGAAGGTGCTGGGAGGCCCCACCCAGGGTGTGAGCACCAGGGGGCGGGGGCAGGAGGGGTCGAGGTGCCAGGGGCTGTACCTCATTTTCTCCCTCTTGGGCTCAGGCTGTCGGCCTCATTCACAGACATGGAGACCACGGCTGGGGGGTGTCTCCTGCCACTTCTCAGTGCGTGACCGGGCCAGTCGCCGGGCTTCTCCGGGCCTGGGCCTCCCCTCTGTACGTTGGTGACGATAATTCCGGCCTGGGAGTTGCCGTGGGGACTCAGCCTGAAGCCGTCAGCATGCGCCTGGCATGTGGGGGGAGCCCACTAAGCAGAGCTGTTGTCTTTCCGGGTGGGGGCCCTCGGCCGAGAGGCAGACGAGCCAGTGCACTGGGTGCTGGGTTCTAACCACCTGTCTCTCCTTTATCTCTCGCCAAGATATTCGAGATGATGGACGCCAAGGCCAGGCAGGACTGCGTCAAGGAGATCGGCCTCCTGAAGGTGAGTGCCCCGAGCGGGACGGGCCCCTGCGACAGTCCTCCGTTCAGCTGGGACGGGGCTGCAGGGCTCACGAAGGACAGAAGTGCCAGGGCCTGTCCAGGGTGAGGCGCACAGCGTGGGGGTGGTGCCTGCGGTCACGCCCCCGCCGGCATCTGGCTTCCCTGGAGGTTACAGGACATTCCGGACCCCACTTGGCCCTGGCCTGGGGCTGCTGTCTCCTGGGGATCCCTCCCTCCTTCCCAGGGCTAGGGTTCTGCTGGGATCGTACAAGTGATGGAGGAGGGGGGGAGATGGTAGGAGCTTGGAGGTCCAGGAACCGGGGTTCAGATCCCAACGTCTTCATTACGAGCTGTGTGACCTTACGCAAGTGATTTTACCTCCCTGAGCATCTGCTCATTGGTGAGAACACCTGCCTCAGGACGCAGACAGATTGCGAGGATTAAATACAGTGATATCTGAGGAGGCCTGGTGCGGTAGAGCGCACAGTAGGTGTCTTCCCACCTCGCGAGATACAGGAGAGCTTACTCGGTAGCGTCTTAAAGTGGGGCTGCGGGGGGCAGTGACACCCTTTGAAACCACAGCTGTGAGATTTCAGATTAGCAGTTAACCTGCGGGGCCCTGCCTGGCTCCCAGGCCCCACCCGTGGGGACCCCTAGGCAGCAGCAGATGGCGGCCATTCAGGGTGATGCTGACCGACCCAGGGGCCATGGAGCCCAGGGGAAGCCCTGCAGAGCCCAGGGCCCTGTTCCAGAACCTGGAAGGCTGAGATGAGCCTGCTGCAGGAACCCCGACAGTGTGGATTGGGGGGCCGGGTTATAGTGGCCTCAAGTGCCATATCAGGACTTCAGTGTTGTCACGATGCGTCACAGTGATGAGGCTGGAGCAGGGAGGCTTGTTGGGAGCTGTCCTTAACTCCAACCCGTACAGATCAAAAATACCCTTCAAATTTACATAATGGTCAGTTGGAAACCCTTCCTGATGACCCAGCCCTGGGGAATAGCTGTCTGTCTCCCACCCTCTCTCCCCACTCATGGCCAAGAACACACGTGTGCCATCCACACTGAGTAGGAATTGTACACGTGTGGACTGAGCCAGCCTGTTGCGGGTCCCTGGGCGCAGAAACGTGTATGCGCAGCCCCTTCGGCGAAGCGGCAGGTGCTGTGAGCTAGCTGGCTGGCGGGGCGGGGCTCTGCCCCTTCCCCGGGGTGCCGCTGGGTGCCAGGACCGTGGGCTCCAGAGGCAGGCACACCCCTTGCTCTCTAGCAGTGTGGCTCCGAGCCCCAGTTTCCTCATCTGTACAAGGGGGTGATGACAGCAGTGCCCGGGGTAATTAGTGAGAAGACACCTGGAGGAGCTCAGTGTCACACCTGGCGTGAGCTCGGTGCTCAGCCAGAGGGGGCCCTGTGGTCACAGCGGGGCACTGCCAGCCCCTTCCCAGAACACCGATCCAGCTCCCCCGCCTGCCCATGGGAAGTCAACAGGATGTGCCAGGGCAGGAGGTGTTTCCTACAAAACAAAGGGAAATATGGTTCTCAGAGGGGCCCCCGGGTGACATCGTTCACATTGTTCATGCCAGGACCCGAAACCCAAAACCTCCCAGCGCAGAGGCTGCCAGACGCGGGCAGGGAGCGGGCCGTGTTGAACGCAGGCACAGATCCGTGTGGTCATGAACTCGGCGCAGTTTTTGAGCATGAGGGATGCAGCCGGGGGAGGCCGATCCAAGGGGCCGTGAGTGCAGGGATTTGAAGAAGAGGGGACCTTGCGTGGATGGGCCCTTTACCCTCAGCCCGCCCTCCCTCCATCCCTCAGCAGCCACCACCACAGCCAGGCCCGGCCCCAGGGGTAACCCACCTCATGAAGTTCCAGATCTGGCCGAGAGGGACCAGCCTCGGGAGGGGTGGTGTGCATCACGAGGACGCAGGGAGGGGGAGGCCCGCTGAGCCTCCAGGAGGAGCCACACTGGAGGTGCCTCTGGGGTGTGACTCTGTCCCGAACCCCAGATGCATGAAGCCTCCAGCTGCCTTCTTTCCCCGACTCACAAACCACTGCCAGACGAAACCCGAACATTCACATCCCTGGAACACTTTCTGCGTCCCTGCCCAGGTGTGTCCCCTTCCAGACCCGAGGCCTCGGCTGAGACGCCGACCCCAGGTGGACAAAGGTCTGCACATGGGACCAGGTTCCAGCCCCTTCCCTCCCCAGGCCGTGGGGATTGTGCCCAGTTACCTCTGGAGACTGTCCGGGTGTTTGAGGGGGCACTTTCTTCACCCCCTGGCTTCAGACCTGCCCATAACCCCTTTCTAATTTTCCAAGTCCTCTGAAAAGTGATACCCAGACCTCGGATGACCTGGGTGGGTTTCGGGGAGCCCTCCCGGTGAGGGACTGAGATTTCCCAGGGAAATAGTGCTGTTCTTATTATGTCTTATGTGTAATAATAGCAGTAATGCCAGTCCTTTAACCTGCTTTAGAGATTCTAAAGCATTTTCAACTTTCCTGCATGTCCTTGGATACTTCTTCATAGATGGAAGCGTATCTGGGATGTAGTGTGTGCCAAGGCCACCCATGTGACGGCCAGTGTTGGCCCCGGGAGACCTCAAAACAAAGTCTGGGTAAGGGGATTTTTGACAAAAGCCCCAAAGCAATTCAGCAGGACAAAGAAAGATTTCAATCCAGGGTGCTAGGAAAACTGGACAGCCAGATGGACAGAAGTGGGCTCCGGCCCCTGCCTCACGCCACACGCAGAAATGAGCTTGAGATGGATCCCAGGCCTAATGTAAAGCTGACCTGGAATATGATGTTTGCTGGGCAGCCCAACAGGACAGCCCTTCGAGGGGCCTGCAGGCTGGGATAGGCAGCGAGCGCTGTGCGGAGTGGCTCCGTCTGGGGGGGATCTGGGGGGGACCTGGTGGGCGTCAGCGGAGGGGCTGCCTGTGACCCCGAGGGGTGCCCACCCACCAAGGGCTGTCTTGGGAAATGAGCGGATGGGGATGGCTGGCTGTGTGATGTCTGTCTCCCGTCACGGTAGGACCCCAGGACGCACAGGTCGCAGTCAGCACCGACGCAGGCTCTCTGCCGGCAGCGTCAGGCCTGTTAGAGATTGTGCTCTGGTCGGTCGGCGTCAGGCCGGCGCTGACAGGAGCCCCGTGGCTGCGCGACCCCACTACGTTATCGGAGTCCCGCCCTGGCCGGTTTGGCTCAGCGGTTAGAGCGTCGACCTGCGGTCCTGAGAGACCCAGGTTCGGTTCCCGCTAAGGGCGCGTACCTCGGTTGCAGTTTGTCCCCGGCCCTGGTTGGTTGTGCGGTGGCAGCTACTCGATGTGTCCCTTTCACATCCACATTGATGTTTCGCTCTCTCTCTCTGTCCCTCTCTCTCCCTTCCACTCTACCTGAACAAAAAAATGGGAAAATGTCCTCGGGTGAGGATAAAAAAAAAAGAATATCAGAGTCCCCTCACCTTCCCAGATCCTGTGGTCGTTTTGGTGTCAACAGTGTATTTCGATTACACACAGTTGCGGGGTCTCCTCTTGGCCGGGCAGAGGTGACTTACAGCCGGAGGTGCTGTCTGCCTGGGCTTCACTGACCACCTCAGCACACACGGCCTTTGGTCAGGCCTGGGGCGTGGCCTGGGCACATTGCTCAGGGCAGTTCCCACACCAGGAGTGGGTGCCCCCGCCCAAGATTTCATAGGGGTGGGTCAGGAATCAACTGAAAGCAGGAAGGAGGAAGGAAGGAGACACACACGTCTGAGTACCAGCTGCAGGCCCCCTGAACACAGTGACGGCGGTGGGGGCCCGGCCTACCCTGGAGGGTCGTGGGTAGTGAGGAGGAGGAGGAGGAAGAGAAGGATCATTTCCACAATATCTATTGAGTCTTAGTTCTGTGCAGTCCCTTTGTTGGACATTTCAAGGCCATTAGTCCATGTAATCTTCACAGCATTATGCCCATTTTACAGATGAGGAAACTGAGGCTCAGAGATGCAAAATGGCTTTCCCAGTGTCCCTGAGCTCTGCCTGACTTCCAAGCCCAGGCCCTTCCTGTAAGACTCACCTCTCCAGCCAATGCCAGGGCCCTGTTAGGAGGTGCCAGCTGGGTACCAACCCAGGGCAGGGCTGGGCTGCACCATCTCTTACTGATTCTGCCTCCTCTTTCTCTCCTTGGGCAGCAACTGAACCATCCAAACATCATCAAGTATTTGGACTCATTTATTGAGGACAACGAGCTGAACATTGTGCTGGAGCTCGCTGATGCAGGCGACCTCTCGCAGATGATCAAGGTAGGGTGCGTGGTGGGCAGGCAGGGTCTGGGAGCTGTCCAGGGTCAGGCAACCCTTCCTCCGCCCTCGGGGACACTCAGCCCCGTTTGCTGTGAGAAAGGGTTCCTCTGGCCACCCCGTCCCAGCCTGCGTGGGCTCGCGGGCCACTGCCGCCTCACAGAACCCAGGAGCAGGCCCGACCACACCAGCTCACGGAATTTGGGAAAGTGTCTTGTGGGTCCATTGCCTCATTTCACAGAAGGGAAAGCCGAGTTTACGAGATTTTCCTGAGGGTACCCAGCAGCGTAGGCACAGGGCCGGGTCTGGAACCCGGGTCTGTTTCGAGGCTGGGACCCTCCCGTGGATATCACCCCCAAGGTGATTTCCCGGGGTGGGGGCATCTTCGTTCCCACGTAACCACCAGGCCAGGAGTCTCCGAGGGGTTGATTTGCCAGGTTCCAGAGGCAGGCCCATTCCACAGCAGCCCCACACCACTGCGCCCCTCACCCACTCCTGGGGCCCAGGACCAGGCCGCATGAGTCTGGAGCCAGGGACCACCACAGACCCACTGATGGGCCACCTGCTGTGGGCCTCAGTGCACTAGCATCACTCACTGAGTCCACACGATTCTCAGATAGCAAAGTTCAGAGAGGTTTAGTCACCTGCCTGAAGCAGCACAGCCTCTAAGCGGGATCCTCAGGCCTGAACCCTTAGCCCCACTCCCTGCTTCTCTCTCAAGGCCTTCACTGCTCTGCTGACTGGACGAGTCGGCAGGCCATTGTTGTGAGTCCCGGTCACCCTCTTCCCCCAGGCCCAGTCTGTCTCCTCCTGATAAGGCCGGACCAGTTCAAGCCCCGCCCAGCTCCCAGCCACCCTTGCAAACAGAACCAGACGGGCTTTTCCGTCCTCCCCACCAGGCACTGGGGATTGAGCAGTTGCTCGGCGCTTGCTCCTCTGAAATTTGGCTCCTAGGAATACGGCGTCTCTGGGAGCGGCATTACTTGAGCTGTTATCACCTGCTTTTATATTTTCGTTGACATATTAATGCATTTGCAGGGATGTTAATCTCCACGCAGATCCCTGGTGGGAACAGATGTGCTATATCATGTCTTAGTTCTCCCTTCTCCCCCGCACACTGTTCCTGCTTCTTGTCGCACCCCCCCGAACGCGCACGCACCCAGCGCCCACGGTGTGCCAGGCCTGTCCTGAGACCGAGGGTGCTGCCAGCGTGGCCTCTGCCCTCAGGGAGCTCGTCCTCCAGCAGGGTGGGGGTGGGGCGTGGCAGAGCGTGAACAGTCACGAGCCAGCGAGAATAAGCCCAGGGCAGGGCCGGTGGACCAGGAAGGCTTCCTGGAGGCGCTGGTACCTGAGCAGACCTCAGGGGAGACCCGAAGGGTAGTGGCCGAGCAGCGTGTGAGAGCCCAGAAGGCTGAGCCCAGAGGGGTTGCCCTGGCTGGTTTGGCTCAGCAGTTAGAGCATCAGCCCTCAGACTGAAGGGTCATGGGTTAGATTCCCGGTCAAGGGCATGTACCTGGGTTGCAGGTTTGATCCCCAGCCCTGGTTGGGGTCATGCGGGAGGCAACCAATTGATGTGCCTCTCTCTCACATGGATGTTTCTCTCTCTCCCCCTCCCTTCCTTCCACTCTATCTAAAAAAAAAATCAGTGGAAAAATATCCTCAGGGGAGGATTAACAAAAAAACAACAACAAAACTGAGGGGTCCCCAAAGCACTTTGTCCAGGAGAGCAGCGTGTGATGGCGGTTTCAGCATTGGACCCCCAGGCCTCCTGGTCCAGGCTCTAGATTTGGGACCTCGCCTGAGGTCATTGAGAAGCGTCCGGAGACTCGTGGCAGCAGTAAACACGGTCAGCTTTGTGTTCCAGAAGGAAGACCGGCTGCCCATAGAGGAGGGAGGAGAACAGGAGTAGGCGCAGAGGCGACAGAGAAGAGACCCTGGAATGTCACCCACAGTGAGGGCACCGTGCCTTCGCCCCAGGAGACCCCAAGCCATTTGCACCTCTCTCTCCACGGAGTGGGGCTGGAGTCTGATAGTCAGGGGAGCAGGGGTGATGGGGCAGATCCAATCTCCCCCTTTCCCGAACCTCAGTTTTTACCCCTGTCCTGAGGGACACTTAGGAAGACACTGTGGGAACCACAGCAGCCCCTGTGTCCCAAGGGCCCCTAAACTCAGGGCCAAGCCTCATGGCCACGGCCACAGTGCTAGCACTATTTACGGCGGAGGCTGAAGCCAGAAACTGCCGCTGCCCCAAAACCCACCAGAGACTCGGCGCCTTCCCGCTAAATGTCACACGGTGCTTATTGGACGTGACATTTAGAAAATCACCACCCCAGCCTTGCACATCCCGCTTAAATGCAGCAATGAGGGTTAACTAACATTGCGGTGTAAATAACACCGCAGGCCTGGGGTGGCCCGGGGCGGGGGTCTGTGCAGGGAGCCGGGGCGGCTCGCCTGTGGGGCCCGCCCCCAGAACAGAGCCTTGGGAGAGCCTCAGGGGCTTTGGGGCCAGGCCAGGGGCCCCCAGCTGGGACTGTCCCACTGTCGGAGATGCCCAGATCCGGTCCCAGCTCTGCTGGGTGACCTTGGGCACTTCCTGAACCTCTCTCGGCTCAGTCCCTCATCAGGGGATTACTGGTGTCCCTGGAAGTGGGCTAAGAGCTTGGGCTTTCTAGGCAGGAGGCCTGGGGCTGAGCTGTGTCTCTGCCCCTTGCTACAATGTAGCCCTCAGTTTCCTGGTCGGCGAGATGGGCGCAGTCGCCCCAGCTCAGGGCGCAGCTCAGGGCGCAGCTCAGGGCCCAGCACATGGCTAGTGCTCAGCAAGTGCGTCAGGCCCTGTCTCTCACCCCACGTCCCCTTTCCCAGACCCAGAGTGCGCCCCGAGTCAGCCCCCATCTTCCCTGTGCCAGAAGGAGGAGCCCACGGCTCTGCCTCACGCTGCTTTGGGGAAGGTGGTGGTTCTCCGGCAAAAAGCCTGAGACTCCGGTTACTGGGGCCATTGCTGCCCCACCGCCGGCTCACAGGAGACCCCCCCGGAGAGGTTGATCTGGACTGTGGACAGGACATGCTCCTAGGTGACCCCTCCAGGACTTCTGGTTCCTTCCAGCCCACTCGGGGCAGCCGGGGTGGTTTCTCGATTTTTATTTGTTTCCTAGAGCATTAAATACGTGTTTTTAGGCAATGAAGCAGGTGAAGCCTGTTGAACCTCGGGGTCCATTTGAGAATGTCAGGCCACTTCCTTGAAGTTGTTGCCGTTTTTGTAAACAATCACAGGGGCTGAGATTTGCCAGCTCTGAGCAGGTGGGGCATCCATGATTTAACCATCAAGCAGGTCTTGGATGTCCCCCTGGTGGGCCAGGCTGTGGCGGGGGCAGGAGGGGCCACGCCAGTCCACTCCTGCAAGGCACTTCCTGTCGGGCAGGGGGAGGCACGGCCGTGTGTCCAGGAGGTTCCAGGAAAAGTGTGATGGAGAGCAGCGGTCAAGAAGTCCAGGCCTCCATTCAGCTAAGCTGTCGGGACATCCGCTCGGGGCCCTCAGGGAGCTCACCACCGGCGGGGGTGGACAGAGACCCATGGAGGGCGAGCAGGGCTGCAGTGGAGAGGTGAACAGGGACCATGCAGCCTGGCCCGGCGCCCTGCCTCTCAGCCCCTCACTGAGGCCTGTCCGTCTGTCTGTCCCCTGCAGTACTTCAAGAAGCAGAAGCGGCTCATCCCCGAGAGGACGGTGTGGAAGTACTTCGTGCAGCTGTGCAGCGCTGTGGAGCACATGCACTCCCGCCGGGTGATGCACCGAGGTGCGTGCGTGCTGCCCCGGCTCCTCCAGAACCCCTGAGGGAGGCTCACGCTCTGTATCCGCAGAGAGTGGGTGCCGAGCACCTTGTCTGTGCTCAGCGGGGTCAGTGAGTGGGTGTGTGCGTGGCCCTGGGCTCCACTGCACACGTATGCCTCATGCCCATTTCAGGGACCTCTCATGGTGGGTGGGCCAAAGCCAGACAGTTACACGGACCCCGGGGAATGGGCCACTCTCAGGACATCGTCAGCAGCTCCCGGTACCAGCCTGGGCCAGCACAGAGGGGTTGCAGCAAGGATGGGTGGAGGGACTGGCCAGGGAGACAGCTCTGCCTGGGAGGGCAGGGGGAGCATCCCAGAAAAGGGAACTTTTAATACGGGCTTTGAAGTCTTAATAGGAGTTGGCTGGGCAAAGGAAATGAGACCACCTACAAAGGAATGTTTCCAAAAGTTGACGTCATCCTGAGTTTGAGGAAGAAGGCTGCTGGGTGCCAGGGAGGGTGCTGGATGCTTTACACAGGTCGCTTCACTGATTCCTCCGCGCATTCATTCCTCCGGTGTTACCAGGGTCCCTGTGTGCGCAGCATGGCCCTGGTCACTGGGGAACAGCGCAGGTCACCTCACTGAGCCCGTCCTTCACGTGTCAACTAAATTCTCCGAGTGCCTGCTCTGTGCTAGATGCTATTATGGGCACAAGGATGTAGCTTTAAAAAAAAAAAGCACAAAGATCCCTGCCCTCCTAGGTAAGGTTAGACCCATTTATCAGCAAGGAAACTGAGGCCCTTTCCCAAGGGCCTGCAGCTGGGCAGAGCTGGAGCCTTGTTCTGAGGGAGCAGACCTGAAGGCCGGGTCCCCCAGCCCCTGGCCTTCTCCTCCCTCTGTTCCTCGGATCCCACACGACCCCGCTTCTCCTTCCCCCACAGACATCAAGCCTGCCAACGTGTTCATCACAGCCACGGGCGTCGTGAAGCTCGGGGACCTGGGCCTGGGCCGCTTCTTCAGCTCCGAGACCACCGCAGCCCACTCGCTAGGTAAGGGACCTGGCTGTGCCCCAGCACCCCAGTCCGGGTGGCTGTGGGGGAGACATGAACAATCCCCCACAGTATCTGTGGTTAGTGAGTGCAGGAAAATGCCTTACTGAACCCCAAACTTGACTCGCCTCTTCAGAACAGTGACCCAGAGGGAGTAAGCCTAAACTCAGGGGGTCCTGGTTGGGGCCTCCCTGTGACTCTGTCGTGGCGTATCATAGTGTTCCATCTCTGGGGCACTGCACAGCCCGTTCCTACTCCGGGGCACATTTGAGCTGCGTCCAGACTTTGTGTTGTAAACAGGCAGTTGAGAAGCTGTGGGGGCTGAGGGCTCCCAGGAGGAGGTGGCATTGTGGCTGGACTGTGAGGTGTGAATAGGAGCTGGTGGAGAACTGGGTGAGGTGGAAAGTGGCATCCCTGGACCTCAGGTGGCAAAGAGGGCAGCGGGGTCCTGCATGCGGAGCTCAGTGGTGGCACCATCCCAGGAGTGCGGCGCCCAGGGCTGGTGGGGGAAGAGACTGCGTGGGTGTGTTTCGGATCACGGGGAGCAGTGTGGAGTTCAGAACCCCGAGGCTGGCTGTGGACTGCATGGGAACCTGGAACAAAGGACAGCGGAGAATTTACATTTAACCAGAATGGAGAAGCCAGCAAAGCCCCTCAAGGAACTGGGTGTGGGACCCCCTGTGCAACAAGACCAGTCGGCGTTTGACCAGGGCAGTGTGGGAACGTGTCCGGGGCAGGCAAGGGTGTCCCCCTTTTCCAGCACTTCGGGGTGGTGTTTGCTGGGGGAGGTGCTCCCAGGTGCCCCTCCCTGTGTGCTTGTGAATGCCTCCCTTGAAAACCACTGTTTTCTGCTCCTCTCCGCCCCGCTCCATGGCCCCAGCCAGCGTCTCCCGTCCTCTGAACCCAGGTGCCTGTGGCAGGCCGTGAGTACACACAGCATCTGGGGATGGCGCAGGTGCTTTCTGGAAGGCACACTTTCCTAGTGGAAACTGTCACTGTTCATACAGGTCCTGATGGCTTGGAGGCTGTCAGGGTATAGCACGCCGTCAGGAGAAATGTGCTAGCACTCGCGGTCAACAGCTCTGAGCTGCTTTTAGGGGTGTGTATGTGAATGTGTGTGCGTGTGCATATGTGTGTGTATGCATGTGCCCGTGCGTGTATTTATGCACTGTGTGTGCGTGTGTGTACACACATGCATGTTTGTGTGTGCGTGTGTGCACATGTGTGAGTTCATGCATGTGTGTGTGCGTGTGAGTGTGCATGTTTGTGTGTGCGTGTGTGCACATGTGTGAGTTCATGCATGTGTGTGTGCGTGTGAGTGTGCACGTGTGGGAGTTTGTGGGAGTGTGTGCATGTGTTCGGGCATGCGTGTGTGTGTGGGGTTGTTGTGAAACTCTCGCCTCCATCTGACCCTGGAGGACACCTGGCACGTTGTTGGTCTTTTGTTAGCTCAAAAGGGAAGAACCCGTCACCCCGGGAGTTTATGACACTTCATCCATGCCTCACACAGCCGACGAGGAATCTGAAATCCAGGGAGCTCAGTAGCTCTCCCGAGTCCGTGTCAGCAGAGCCAAGCCTCCATGCCGGCCTCATGGTGCTCAGCTCAGCTTCCCCACCAGGCTTGGGGGCCAGGGGGGTAATGCTGGGTCCTCCCCTGGAGCTCGGCCACCGACTCACGCCTGGGGGACACCTTGTCTTTCTCGGGCCCTCAGACCCTTCTCCTTGTGAAAATTAGTGTGTCTGTCAGTCTGGGACTGTTTACCTCTCTGGTTTGAGAGTTTCAAAAAGGCCAGAAACTCAAGGGAAACCGTCAAAGGGAAGAAGAGTTGAAGCCTCTGCCTCCTGTCCCCTGTCAGTCAGGTCCCAGCCCTTCGCGGTCCTGCTGGGGAGAAGGCGGCGGCGCTCGTCAGAGCTGGTTAAGATCACATCATTAGGAACGGGCAGCCGTTCGGGCTCAGCCGACAGCATGAGCGTATCGGCTTGACTGCTGCACTTATTATATTAATGAGAAGGAATTGGAACTTGGGAAAATCTGCCCCCGTGAGCCCTGCTCTTCCCGAGGCCTCCAAGCGGCTGACTGGGCGTGGTGGGTGAAGGAGACCTCCTGGGGTCACGGTCCCAGAACAGGGTGGCAGCACAGAGCCAAAGCCCAGGCCTTGAAGTCTCCAAGCTGCAGGAGAAAGACTCTCCTTCCACAGCGAGACTGCAAGCAGCTGACTAAGTCTCGCACACGCGTTAGCTGGGGAGAGATTGAAATCCTTGCCGCCGGATCATGAGTCAGGAAGGGTGCCGGGGCTGGGGGGCCCTTCCCCCGGTGCATGGGTCTGGGTTATGCTTCTCTGCGCACCTACTATGTGGGGCTGCTGTGGTGGCTGCCACGTTGCCCTGGCAACCACTTCCTCTCCTGGGCTGCAGACCCACTGGCAGGGTTTATGCAAATTTCATCTCCCCCTGCCGCTCCCTCCCCCCACCCCTCCCCGCCTCAGTATTTGCTAACACGAGGCTGGCATGAAAGGGCATTAGTCATGCCATGGCCGGGCTGACAGGTGCGTACCCCGCGGTGGCAGAGTGGCTGCCTCGGTGTCAGGCATAGGAGCCGTAATTAGAGCGAGGAACAGAATGAGCGTCAGACGAATTACCAGGCAGCAGATCATATTTGTCAGGAAGGATTGCATACATAAAAATTAAGTGACAGTACACGCCGGCGTAATGAAAGAAAAATGAAAGATTTGCCTATACACAGCTCACAAGCTACAAGCAAGTGTCTCGCTCGGAGCAACGGCAGCAGCTGCAAGACGAATCGTGGGGCTGGGAGAGCAGGCCCTGCTTCTCGGCAGCCGTGACCGGGCAGCCACCGGCCGGGGTTGGGGGAGCCGACCGGCTCACCCCTGGGCTGTGCAGGGCCTCACACCCCCTCTCAGATCCCCGCCAGGTGTGGGGTCAGGGCCTGCCGGCTTTCCCCGGCTGCCAGCCTCTGGCCTGGCCACAGGTATACATTTCTTCCTTCTCCCTTCCCTGGACTGGGCACAGAGGACGTGAGGTCCCCAGACTGGTGCGTGGACAGACACGGTCAGTCCTAGGGTGCATGGTATGGGGACAGGTGGAACTAGTGCTGAGCTCCGTGTTGAAACTGGGGGCAGGGCTGCCTCAGCCCCTCCCAGGGCCGCCCTTATTTCCGTTTCCTAGTCACTGAACTCCGTTAGCAAAGAAGGCAAGGCTTACAAGATGTTTGAGAAAACCTTTGCTATTAAAAAATCATCCCACCGAAGTTTATTACCTCCGTTTGACAGATGAGGAAACAGGCTCAGATAAGGGCGGGGGTACTGGAGCCCTCGGGGTGCCGGTTCCTCTCCTGGCACAGGCCCTCGTGTTGGGAGGTGGGCTTGGGTCCTGGCAGGTTCTCTGGGTGCAGGAGCACTCAGGGCGCCGAGTGCCCCACCACTCCGGGCGGGGCCGTGTGGGACCTGGACTTGTCCTGGGCCACAGGGAAGTAGGGCGGAGCCTCGTCTCCTTGTTGAGTGCCAGCACTCCCACGAGTGTGCCCACGCCTGGCACCAGGTGGGACCCGTAGAACATTTGCCAAGTGGGTGGATGGTCCCCATGACCAGGCATCCCTGGGCACCCTCCCCGTGTGGTTACAGAGCCCTGTGCGAGTATGTCCCAGGCCTCCTCCCACCCCGCCCAGCAGCCCGCCACTCCTGAGCCCAGCTGGCCTAGAAGACAGTTTCAGCAGGTAGATCCCAGGCTCTGAGTGCTGACACCTTGGGTAGAGGCCACAGGAGGTCGCACCTATCTGGCCAGTGGTGCCTACTTTGTCACCGCATCCCTAGCATTTTTAGGGACACACACTGTTAGAACAAGACAAGCTGAGCCAGAGAGAAAAGGGCAGTCTCAGGGGCTGCAAGTGGAGAATGGATCAGGCCTAGGATGCAAACTGCAGCCTGTCTGTTTGCCTTCATTCACTCAAGAAGGGCTTGTGCCAGGTCCTGGCTGCTCTCCGGGAGGGCCCTGTGCTCTGGCACGTACAGGCTGGGCTGGAAATAGTTGAGAGTCTCCCCAGGAACCCAGCACTGCTCCAGTGCTCACATCCCAGGGGGTGCCCCCCCAGCACTCCAGACCCCTGGAGGGGGGAGTCACCTCGGAGCGGGTTGTCCAGCGAAGAAGCCCAGGTGCAGGGAGGTGAGCACCTTTGCCAGGCTGATGCGGTGGGCGAGGGGCAGGGGGAGGCAAGGCCACGCCTCAGTTTCCTATCCAAGACTCCCAGAGTCATCTCGGGCCAGACCCCAAGACCTGGCAACACAGGGTGCTGTGTAGAGTCCAAGAACCAAGCCCTCCGATCTTCCTGTCTGTTAGAGACACTCCGTGTGGGAACTAGAAATAGGAGATATTTACACACATGCAAAGAGTCTGAAATTAAGCCCGTGCTGCAAAAAGTACAGCGTTTTTCCGACGTGGTCACCGCTTCTCCTGAGGGCTGTGTGTGGCTCGGCATGGGGTCGGCTGGTAGTTCATTTACGGAGGACTTGATAATAAGCCGTGACACAGGTGGGCCTGGTGTGAGTGTGTGTGTGTGTGTGTGTGTGTGTGGTGTTTCGGGAAGCAGGGACGATCTGGAGAGGCCTCTCATGCCAGCTGGGCACGGGGGGCATGGCCCCTGCTGTGGTGGGTAAGATGGGTGGGAATGGACAGGACAGGAGGGGCCAAGCCAGTCAGTTGTCCAGCGAATGAGAGCAGTGGATAGGGGGACAGAGGGGAGCAGCCACCTCAGGATGTGGGCCCTGCTTGGCTGAGGGGGTGGGTCACAGAGACACCAGTGCAGCCCACACTGCCCAGCGCCACAGAAGCCGCTTCTCAGTCCCAGAACCTCCTTGGTTCTTACCCTGCCCTTCACCACCCTCTCCGCCCACGGTCTGTGGGCAGCCGGGCCTTCCCGGAGCCTTCAGCCTGCAGAAGGTGGTTCTACCCCATTTTCTGCACGGAAACCAGGGCTCCAAAGAAGG